GAGTGAGTGCGGGAAACGAAAAATATATTGCAAAACAATTACTAATATAATAATCTTTCCAGAACCAATCCCCTCAACAATAACAACACAAATGGAAATGGAAGTGGAAACGGAAGTGGAGGTGGAAGTGGGAGTGGCAATGGGAGCACACAAAGTAAACCAAAAATCCAGCCCAAGTACAGCATCCATCGGGATGTGCTCACCCACGAGGTGGTCATCAAGGAGACGGGATATGCGGCACGCGACAAGAGCATACCCTCGTCGCTACGCAGCTGCTGGCAGAGCTGGAACTTCTTTGCACTCTTCACGGGCGTGATACCCATCCTGCAGTGGCTGCCCAAGTACTCGCCCAGACGGGACCTGGCTGGCGACGTCATTGCTGGCTTCACAGTGGCTATTATGAACATCCCTCACGGCATGGCGTACGGCATCCTGGCCGGTGTCTCCGCTGGCAATGGCCTATACATGGCTGTTTTTCCGGTGCTGGTCTATCTGCTGCTCGGCACGTCCAAACACATATCGATTGGCACCTTTGCGGTGGCCAGCATGATGACGCTTAAAGTGGTGCAGACATACGCCACTGTGGATTCCACGGGCGCACCTCTGCATGTTCCTATGAATGCTACAACGACAGCGGCGCCACTGCTGCTGGCCAACGCCACTGCGACAAGTCTCACGCCGCCAGTGGATGCAATCACGCACCTGGAGGTCGTCACATCCTTGGCCCTGGCCGTGGGCATTGTTAATGTAGGTATTCCTGCTACTTTTGTCTGCTAAAACATTACTTATTTCCTGTTTTCTTTTAGCTGCTGATGGCTTTCTTAAGACTGGGCACGTTGGCCTCCCTGCTGAGTGATCCTCTGGTGAATGGCTTCACCACGGCAGCCGCCTGTCATGTCGTGACGGCACAGCTGAAGGATGTCTTGGGAATCGAGGTGGAGCGGTACAGGGGCGCCTTCAAGATCGTGTACACGCTGATCGATGTGGTCAAGAGCGTGCCGCAGACGAATCTGGTCAACTTTGGCTTCTGCGTGGGCGTCATCATCTTCATGGTGATATCCAACGAATGCCTGAAGCCGTGTCTGAGCAAGCGGTGTCGGATGCCACTTCCCGCCGAACTGATAGCCGTGATTGGAGGCACTCTGATCTCGAAGTGCTTCGATCTGTATCCGCAGTTCAACGTGCAGCTGGTGGGAGTGATCCCTAGAGGTTTGCCAGAGCCCGTCCTTCCGCGCCTCGACCTGTTGCCGAAGGTGGCTTTGGACTCGATTGCCATTGCCGTCGTCACCTATTCGATCATCATGTCCATGGGCCTCACATTCGCCAGAAAGCACGGCTACGAAGTGCGGGCCAACCAGGAGCTCTTTGCCATGGGCATTGGCAACATTGTGGGCGGTTGCTTCTCCTGCATACCCATGGCTTGTTCGCTCTCGCGATCGGTCATCCAGGACCAGACGGGCGGCGTGTCGCAGATTGCTTCCCTCATTTCGGCTTCCCTGGTGGTGGTCACCCTCATGTGGGTTGGACCCTTCTTCAGTGACTTGCCCAGGGTAATTATATGATTTATAATCTTAATTTAATAATTTTTAACTGTGTGTGTCTTTCCCCCCCAGTGCGTTCTTGCTGGTGTGATTATAGTGGCGCTGAAGCCGATGTTCATGCAGGCGAGGGAGCTGAAGAAGTTCTCCAAGCAGGGCAAGCTGGAGATGTTCACCTGGATATCCACCTTCCTCTGCGTAGTGCTCATCGACATAGACATTGGGTAAGTCCTATTGTACAGATAGACAGGATTCTACCTAGCATTGTGTTACCCTCTTCCATTTGCAGTCTATTGATCGGCATCTGCATCTCCCTGTTGGCGCTGTACATTAAGGGCCTGAAGCCATACTCCTGTCTGCTGGGCTACATGCCAGAGGCGCCAGGCATCTACATGGACCTCAATCAGCATCGCAACGCAATGCAGGTGCCTGAGACACGGATCTATCGCTACAGCGGATCCCTCAACTTTGCCACCAGTCTGTTCTTCCGTCGGTCGCTGTACGAGGCGGTCGGTTTGGACAAGATGCCGCTCAGCAGTCCGAGTCCGAGCAGGGTGGCTGGCAACAAGACCAGCTACTCGCCAGTGTCCCAAAACGGGGGCAAGGTCAAGAATGGCCAGCTCGTGGAGGCTTCGGAAATGTTTAAGATCCTCATTCTGGACTTCTCCATGCTGGGACATATAGATGTGGCTGGCTGTCGCACGCTCAGCGACCTGAGTAAGGAGCTGAAGGTCCGCGGAGCACGTCTACTGCTGGCAAGCCCCGTCGATCGGGTATACGATACTCTGGTGCACAGTATGGCCCTGAGCGAGGGCCCCTTCGAGATTTTTCCCACCTTGCACGATTGCGTCGAGTATGCCAATTCCTGTCGAACTGCGTGAGAGTCGTCCCCGGGTCGTGGAGAGCGGGGAGCACGCGTTTTGTGATATGTCCAAGTGATAGCTTGTGAATCGTAGCACCAAAACCCTTTTCTAGCAGCTAAGTCCTATTTTAAAACTGAATGGAATCAGAAGTTGCCGTCTACAATCAACCGGATTAGTCGTAAGTTCGCGTAAGTGCCTCCACAAAGAGTTTACAACAACCCAAACGCCGGATACAATAATAGATTTTGTACTTAAAGTCAGGACAAACTTTAGCACCGAAGACACGATCAATGTATTTTTTGATTTTGCAATGCAATTTGTACCAAAATGAACCCACAATTAGATCGTAAGAATATGTAAATTGTACATAAAAATAAAAAAAACTGAAATTGTTACCATTTATGTACATATGTCGTTTTTTTTTGTTCAAAAGGATAGTCGAGGACGACTAGCGAGGCATTGTCCTTAATATCCTTGCATCCGAAGTGATAGCAAATGGTTTGCAACATTGTCCCGATCACGAGGAGGTATTGCATGTCCTGATCCCACACGACACTGAAAAGCTTTTGCGTTGTAGGGATTATATTTAAAAACAGCCTTAAAATGGCATTATCCTTAAGGTCCTTGCATCCGTAAGGATCTAAAACGATACAGGACATTCTCCTGATCACGAGGAGGTGTGGCATGTCCTGATCGGCCCCCAAATGAAGGAGCAAACAATAAAACAAAAATGTCCTATGGAACTGCATACCTTTAGTGACTTGAGATTTTAAAAAAACCGCCGAGTTTCATAGCAGCCAGCTCTTGACACGATGGAAAACATAAAAACCAGCTACCTTCTGCTGATTTATGTTCGCCTGGTACTTGGTCTGGAAATTTTCCAGTTTTCGGCCATTTGAGCGAGGCAATTTCAAAAGTTCACAGTGGCGCCTCAACATAAAGCGGCCAGTTCTTGAACTACACTAGTTTAGTTCCAGAAGTGGCCGTCATGATTTTGGGGGCGCCACTTTTATTGTACAACAACAACATAAATTGGACAACAGGACATTTTTGTTTTCTTGTTTGTTCCTTAATTTGGGGGCCGATCAGGACATGCCACACCTCCTCGTGATCAGGAGAATGTCCTTTATCGTTTTCAATCTTTTCGGATGTAAGGACTTTAAGGATAATGGCATTTTAAGGATGCTTTTAAATGTAATCCCTATAACGGCATAGCTTGGCTGTGTCCTGTCGGTTCAGGACCTGCCACACCTCTTCGTGATCGGGACAATGTCCCGGTCCGATTACAATCACTTCGGAAGCAAGGATATTAAGGATAATGGATGTTTTTAACTAAAATCTAAACAATGCTATAGCTCGTCTGCTTCCTGTCGGATCAGGACATGCCCCACATCCTCGTGGGCGGAAATGTCTCCTGAATCGTTTGAATCTATCAAGGACCTCAAGGACTGCAGGATATCGCTGTTTTACGAATTTTTGTAAAAGCGTTCCTTTCAGCTTTAAAGTATGCCACACTTTTACGAATCAAAGCAGCCCCCAAAAGATACTTCAAATATGCTAAAAATTACTGAGCGGACTGAAAGTATCCTACACTTTTTAATTAATATACAAAACTTGTCATTCCATATGATTACAAAATTGGTAGTTATGTGCTATGGTAATCTTAACCTAGACCGATATGGAAATCGGCCACTTCCATGGAGATCTTGAACTCCTGATCGCAGCACAAAAAGGAGTCGATTATGCTTGCCTTCCTCGAATTTCTGCGGAAAGAAAGTTGCATTGACGGTCCAGCGAGACCACATGGTTGGCCCAATGTTGGTGAATCCTTTGGCGATTTCCTCCGCAGATAAAGTGCACATTGGTGACATTCTGCTCCTCATTGTTGGTGGGGGCTGTCAGTGCCAATATCTTGGCGGACGGACCAGCAACGCGAATAATTCAGGACAGACAATTTGGCATGGTCTGTTTGGCACTTACTGGCTCATACTTGCTCTGCAATTGACATGTTGTGGAAGCTGCCATAATTGTTTTATTTATGTTTTTGATGGCTAATTATCCTTCGTATTTTGGTTTTCACAACAACTTTAAAGTTTTGTGAAAAATGGCGCGTGTTTTCTTGCAGTGTGACCACAATTTTATCGATAAAATATACCGTCTGGCTTTCACAAGTATACCAAAGTATACCTTGTAATTTTTAACATAAGCCGTAATATAACAATGAAAATCATATTACTCGATTTTAAGCTTCGGCTTAATATTACTGGCTAGCTAAGTCTCTTAACACTGAAAATATAATTTTATTAGACAGAAGGATACATTTTCTAGAAGATTGTTTAGTTTTAGGAACTTGCTTTAATTATTTGCATGGTTTTTTCAATATATTTGTGAGATATGAATATGATTCCTGTTTTGGTAACCAGTGCTGAAAAATGTACAAGGGAACTATCGATTGGAAACAGGCAAATCAATAAGATTAATAATATTTGACAGAAGTAGAATCAAGTTCAAACAAAAAGGCGCCAGATGGCTAAAGATAAAATTAAATATACTGATCTGTCAGGAACACTGTAAACGAAACATCTAAACTTGTCAGATCACCATATATATTAGGCCTGGCACAACTTTTATAACATATTGAAATAAAATTACCTCAAACTATGATTTTTTCGTGGCAAAAGCTTCGTTTTATACTGGCGGTCGTTCTGCTGTACGCCCTGCACTGGAGTGCCAGCTTGAGGGAGACCCTGCTACCGGGTGGGGATAGCTACAGCCTGCCAGCGTTGGATATGTGTCGCCTGGACTTCACCCACTGCTACTCCATTTGCTGGCTGCTGTTCCACCTGACGCCTTGCCCTTTCATGTCGCTGCTGGTGATCGTCCTGTTAACAGGATTCTTCTACTACACGCTTTTACTCGCATGCGGATATGTCGTTTGCTCCCGACATCATAAATGGCGCAGCTACCGAAGAGCTTTAAGCACTGTGGAGTGTTTGTTGATGGACATGCAGCTGGAGGGGGAAACTGGCGCGCCACAAGAGGCTATAGAGCCACCTCCAGCTCAGCCGGAGACCCCGCCTCGCAGAAAAAGACGACAGGCACCACAGCCTCCAGCCGCGAGTCCCCATCCCTGTCAAAATAATCCGTTTGGGTCGACAACGACCCCGCAGTGCTTCACAGAAACACCGGATCCCGATATTTACAGGACCATGCGGCAGAATTTGCAACGAGCCTTGGATGGATTACAGAAACCCCTGCCTTTGCCAGCTCCATTTCTGCTGCCGTTGCCGATGCCAGAACCGCTTCCCTTACCGACATTCCTTCCCCAATTGGATGAGCCACTCGCAGTGTCCCAATCTGGGTGCTCGGTGGCTCAGGAAAAGCTAAAATCCCGTCCCAAGCTGCTGCGTGGAATTTTGAAGCGGCTTGGCATAAGTTCAAAGAAGAGTCAACGGGACAAGGACTCAAGCAGCAGCAGCCCTATCCGGCCACTCTGGCAGAGACTGAGATCTCGAATGAGTCTCACGGTTGCAGCTGATACTCCGGCCAACTCATCCAGGTCGTCCACAACCGATGAGCTCCTGTACATGTATCCCCATGAAGTGCGACAAAGAATGAGGTGGAAGAACAGCTACACATAGCCAAGACCTAAGCTTCTTCCTGGCCAGCGTGACCCTGACGCACATATACAATCCACTCTATTCGAATCTTTTTGATTATATTTTGTTACGATTAAAAGCAGTTTCATGCGAACAGCCTTGCTACCGTGTGGGGACCTTGGGTCCGAATTTAGCTTTATTAGAACACATCCGGCAAAGCGGATTTCTAGACCAACAAAAGCAACTTAAGCGACAAACCTTGTTTGGCTTCTGCGCTCGCTGACTGTTCGATTTGGTGGCAGCGAAAGCAGCCCATTGTCTGGGAACAATGGCAGGAAAGAAGCCGAAAGGAAAACGCTGTCCAAATTTCCACGGAAATTAACACAAGATGCTCAGCGCAATTCTGTTTGGGTGTTCCAAATAAGTGTGGAGGCCAAAGCGGCTGACAGTGCCCAGACCAGTTTCTGTTCTTCCTTCCCCAGCAGAAATTGTGGCTCCGGCAAGGCCGTTGGAAAGTGAAAAGCTGCGAATGAGCAGCGTATGATTTTCATAATTTGTAGCTAAAAATTAAATCACGTTCCTTATCAGCGATGTGGCGTCGTATGGTGCGGTGCGGTGCTGTGCGGAGTGGTGCGATTGTGAGTGCCTTTCTTTTTCAACAATTACCAAAATCGGAAAGGCGGACAGCGGAATTACCAACCAGAGCACAGCAACAGCAACAGCAACAGAAACAGCAACAATGAAATTTCACTTTCAGCTTGTGTGTGCGAGTAAATCTGATGTCGGAGAGGCATACAAACAAAAGACTTAAGGCACGAACTTGCCGCGCAGTGAAGGTTAAGCCATCCGATTTGATATTCAATTGGTACAACTGTGTTTTGTACAACGATTTCGAAAGCCAAGCCAATGCACTCCACACATTGTCGTTGAGGTCCCGCGCCCACCTGAACTGCATAGCCAATGTCCAAATGTCTGAGTGCTCCGAGTTTTCCGAGTCTTTCAAAGATCACTTCTCATTTCGGCCTTCCCCTAGTGTGTTGCTGTGTTGGGCCGCTTTGGCAACCAGAGCGAAAACAGAGTTTTCTCGTGGAAACTGGCACAGAATGGCAATAAGCCTGCAATGAGCAAAAGCAAAAGCAAAAGCAAAAGCCTCCATCAACCATCAATTGGAAAATGGCACGCAATGGAGACCGCGGCTCCACATTAAAATGCACGCAAGTAAGTTGTGCCGAGCAAATGATTTACAGTGAAAGGCAGTGAAATTTATAGCATCCCAGGCGTGAGAAGTGGACTGGCATAAAGAAAGGCATATGGCATGGCATGGCAGTTCTTCAGAATTGCAGAACCTAACGACAGGGGAAATCCCTACTCTGCACAGTTTTTACTTTTCTTACCCGCAGAGCTTCACGATCGCTGCTGCTGTTGCTAATGCTTTTAGGACTGGGCATCTGAGGTGTGATTGGAGCTTAGGAAACCCTTTACATTATTCATATTCAAAACAAACAAAAAACACTAACAAATGCAAATGCCAACCGCTGCTTTCTATCGTATTCAACGCACTAATGGTTATGCGCTCTGCTGCGACTTGGCATTTTGTAAATCATATTTCGTATTTGCATCAACCGCAGCAGCATTGGGGTGGGGTTGGTGGATGGCTCTGACTAGCTGTGGCCAAGACGTTTTGCTCTCGATCTGTGGTGTCTTGTTGTTATGCTAATCAAACGTGTTGCCTTACCAAATCCGTATCGAATTTGATAACAAATGCTTGTATATTGGTTGCAGCTGCTACTATGCTATCCCGTTTCCTATCACTCCCCCATCTCTCTGTTAATTTGTCTGTTAATGGCTAACAGAGGCTTTGCTCCGCTCTCTTCAGCACACAAAAGAGTGGTCGGAGCTCATTTTCCATGCAGCTCACAGCGCCAGCCCAGTGCCTAGCTGCAAACTGAAACTGTAGTTTATGTTGCTGTTTGTTGATTGCTGCTGCTGTTGTAGTTGTTGTAGTTGTTGTACTTGTTGGAGTTGTGGTGTTGCTCTGTTGTGGCTGCTCGCTCGCATATGGCCACTCGTACGTGGCGGGTCTGAAGCCTAAACCTGTCGCTGTCGCTGTCGCTGTTGCCGTTTCTGTTGTCTTGTCTTGACAGCGTGCTGTGGCCGCAGCGCTCGAATCAGTCTCAGTTTTCCAGTCCACCGTGCAAGTACGCAGCGCCAAGCGGTTCGCCTTCCCAAAAAAACAAAGTGACTGTGTCCAGTGACAAAATGCAAGGCTAGCCGAGCCAAGCCAAGCCGAGTCAAGCCAAGCCAAAACCGAGAGTGACCGACCACAACCGGGTGTCCGGTGTGCTGAAAATTCAGTCCCTCAACCGTGTGCTTCCCCCCCAAAATCGATCACTTATCGAAGGATCTTTCGATTCGATACACCCGCAGGCCGCTCCTTTTGCCAGCTAGTTCTCGACGAAGGAGAGACAGCGAGACACTTGGTTACCTTGTGGAGTAAGCGGCTCTGAGTGCCGGAGACCAGTCAAAATGGTGAGTGCAAAAGTGTGTCAGGCCGGAGTACCGGAGAACGAGAGAACCGAGCCGCGCCGCGCCGAAGCCCATGGGGCGAACTATGGAAAATTAGCATATTTCCAGCAGAACACAAAAAGCATGCCAAAGAATATTGAAAGTCCGTTGACGCAACGGAAAAATGAATGTTAAGCAGCAGCAATAACAATTCAGGCAAAGACTGGAGCTAAAACAGAGACATAAAGAGGCAGAGGCAGAGGCAGCAGCAGACACAAACACAGACAGAGTCAGATATAGACACATAGACAGAGACAGCGACAGAATAATAGCCTGAAGTGTGAGAAACAGAAACAACAGAGACAGCAACGAGTTCTACCCGCTGACCGATCGAAGTTGAAGGCAAACTTGTCAAAGACAATGAAAGGGGCGGGAAGGGGAGGTAAGGGTAGGGTAGCGAAGGGGCTTCAGGCTGGGAGGCTAGGAGGGAGCCTCGCTTTGGTTTCGCTTTCAAATCGATTCAAAACTGATTGGAAAAATGCTCGATAATCCAAGCCGTGTCCGGCTCTTACTTCCTTGGCTGGCTTTTTGACAAGAGGCAGAGTGAGAGAGAGATTTCCATTATGGCAGCAGCAGGCGGCAGGCGGTGGGCAGGCAGGCAGGCAGTCTGGGCACGCCTCAATTTGGCAGCAGCAAGTAAAAGTTGCAGGCAAACAACAATAGCAATAGCAACTATAACAAACAAGTTTTCGCTTTTGTTTTACCAACAATTAATATTGGCCAAAGGAAAACAACAAAAAGAAAAGATACCCATGGGCTCTGGTCGACGATTGGCAAATCGTTGGCAAAGCGGCCACCAAAACACACACAAAACAACAACTAAACTGGTCTCAAAAATGAAAAACCCGCAAAAATTAGGTTCGACTCGCAGACTCGCAGGCGAAATCGAAGTCTCGAAACAGTCTTGAAGCGAGTGGAAAACAGCAAACAAAAAAACCAGCGCAAAGCAGCGGCAGCAGCAGCAAAGGCAATCAAAATCCACATCCAAATCGAATTCGAATTCGAATTCGAAGCCGAACTTTGCGTAGTTTATAAATTAAACGTTTTATATTTGGCTCTTTCTCTTGGCTACAGAGTACCAATTATACATATGAACATATGTTTATCGCACGTTAACTGGCATTTACGATGTGGAGCAGGTCGAAATGTAATTATTTTCAAAGAGCAAAACAATGAAAAATGTTAATTACCAAGACCAGGGGCTAGCCTTTGTGCACTTTCGCAGCTGTTTCCATTTGCTGTCCGGCCCCCATTCACGGCCACGCCTCCGTGACTCCTGAAACGCGGCATTGACAGCCCTCGCGATGGCTGGGGATATAGCTATGTATCTATGTATCTATGTATGTGTGTGCAGTCCGTCAACGTCACAGACAAAACTCTCACTTTCGTTGGCACTGCTTTCGTCTCTGCTGGCTCCACGACAATGGACTACTCGGAGACACTCGGAACGGAGAATTTTGTTTGGAAAACAAACAACCCGCGAGTGGCACGACAAAGCTTATGTAGGTACACGCTCGAAAACCCCCACTTGTCGAGGGGTCTAACATTATAATGGCACGCAGAGACAGAGGCAGACTTTCTCCCTTATGGACATTTCATTTTCTTCTCTGCCTTTTGTCGGAAGTCAATAATGCATCCCACCCGGTCGTATGCGTAATAAGATTACTCAAGCAGCAGCAGCAGTACTAAGAAACATTTGCAGTCAATTTAGGAAACAAGAAACATAAATACTTTGCAGCCAGTTTGTCTCTGAACTTAAGATTGAAATTTAAATACTTCTTGATGGCTTTGTGCATTTAATTTCGAATAGTCTTTAACCATTAATTGCTTATCGTAATGATCACAGATGGAAGACGTTTAGTTAGTCATTTTCAATCAGGCAAGACACGCTTGCTCGGTCCATTAAGTATTTATGCTATTTCCCATGAAGTAAATAAAATAAAATTAGAATTCTGCACAAAAATGGCATGCCCCAATGCTCGTAACAGTTTGTCTAGAATGTTCGCTCGTTCGTGCGGCCCAGCCCTGACAGGCAGAATGCAGCATGCAGCTGCCGCAATAGTGAAGGAAGCTGTGTGTGTGGGTCGTGGCTTGGAGTGCTTATAATCAGGGCCACAAGGCACCAATCGAGGCTGTAGCTTCGCTCACATTTATGTAGATGATTTGGCTGAAACCCAAAAAGCATCAACTGGTTATTGAACTCGCTACGACAGTCAGCTGGTAGCTCGAAGATAAAGTGAGTGGCGAATGCAAGGCCTGACAAAAGCAAAAGACTGAGGCAACAAACGTGGAAGCTTCGCACATGTTTCTTTCAGTTTTGAGTGTTTCTTGCAGGAAGTGACATAAAGCATTCATGCTGGCCAATTGTCAAAGTGTGATATGAGATCCATCATAATTAACTCACACCCCAGTAGCAGCAGCAGCAGCAGCATACTTCATGGCTTTATAGACACACAAATGTGAATTAGATATCCACTCGGGCAGGGCATATCAATCATTTGTCAAGCGGCGAAGGTGACAAACGAAAATAAAAGCAAAATCCAACTCCCA